TTTCACATTTGAGGCATTTCACCCTTATTCAGGATATCTTTGACAGGTGAGCAAATAAGATTTAATAACCAAAACACAACTGCTGAGAGAAAACAATACAGATGTCACATTGAGAGCTTATCTGTTCTTTATTCCCTGTAGCATGGTTGATTGGAGTTGTTTTTATCCAACTCATCCAGCGATTTTAATCCTGAGGGAACAACGTGACACATTAGCAATTTTAGCCATGCTGGCAGGATGTTTCAATGCCTTCTGTCCAGTTCAAGATACGCTCATTACTCTTGGATGGGGGGATGTAACATTTTGTATTTTAATGCTCCCTCAAGGGTGAGTGCTGCTAAATTTGATTAGCTTTTTCCGATCTTTGAGCAAAACAGTGATCTGAATGTTGTACATTATGTTGCATGGCCTCTCAAGGATGTTGCTGGACATTTGTTCCCAAGAGGAAAACAAGGTATTATGTATAAGGTCAACACAAAGGCACCATTTTGTGGTCAGAAGCAATGCATTCTGGTAACAAGTAGCTAAAATTATCCGACCTCTGGAGCACTGAAATAAAGTGGTTAAAGGTTGATATACACTTCTATGTTTTGAGCAATGTAAACCATAGTTTACTTTAAATTAAAACAAATAGCCCTACTCATGTTGGAATTTAAGCAAACTAGAAATGCGGTTTAAAATGGAGCTAATTAGTTTCAATAATAATATGGAAAACCATTTCAAATCATCTTCTACAGGTGTTTTATATATAAAAAAAAAAGTCTATAAGAAAGTTAAAGCAGCAGAAGAAAGCCCAAGTGTGTTGCTATACAGATGTAGATTTTTGGGCCAGCAAACTAATGTTTAGAATATTATAACTGAATGGCAATGCATCAGACACAACATTGCAGATAAGCTCAAGGCTGCTATTAATGGTAAAGTGAAGCATTTTATTTTTCTTGTGGATCATCAAAATAAGTGGTGTTCCTAACTGTCAATCATTCTGGAGATATGTTTACGTACAGCCTTCCTACGTGCTCGTCCCCATTTTCACGTGGTGAGTCTGACATAGTGGAAAAATGGTAAATCTTCTTACAGAAAGTAAGCTTGGATGAGCGATGCAAACAGAAACAGTGTGTGCACAAGGAGAAATAGGCTTGTGCATGCTCTCGTACAAGTTTAATAGGCGTTCCCTCGCGGGAGTGGCTACAGGGTTATGCATGTGCATTTTAAAGTGGAGAGGGCGGGTTTTTTCAAAAAATAGCAGAGGTCCTACAATATACCTTTAAATCAATTTTAACATTTCAGCAGAGCCACAGGTTATTCCACTAAAATACATAACACTGTAAGTATTCATGAGTTTTTACTGAACATCATACATTTATTAATCTTTTTAAATGCTTAAAACATTGTTAATAAGGAATATTGGATACATTTCTAGGTTTTCAAACAGGTAGCATTTTTAGCATGTTACCCAGAATGTAACTCACAATGATGTCTGATTTTCATTGATCTAAAAAGTGAAGCCACAACAAAATCCCCTTAGAATTAGACACCTGTTAATTACTGTAGAGGACTACATCTCTGATCTGCTTCTCCAGCAATCTACATTAACCCTACCTCTCTCCACTTTCTGTAAATATTGTCTTCATATTTAGCCTCAAGTGTTCTTCCACACAGCATGACATTCACTTTGTAAATTAGGCTCCATTTAGAGTAGAACAGCTAACAAAGCAGGGCATGCTCTAGGTTGGGACTTTCCTGTGACTGACAACAAGATGTCTCATTGATCCGCTAAGTAACAACCCTTGGTTTTCTCTTCAAATAGTTTCCCCAAGGAAGGCAGGCAATGATAAACTAAATGCCAAGGTCACATTTCAAAACATTAGTTTAAAATCCAGTAGTTTGCACTACAATTAATTAATCCTTCAAATCTGGAATAAATGTTTCTATTATTTAGAAAAGCCAGACGAACTTCTTGAGGTACTGATCTTGCATTTATGCTTTAGAAAAGCAAACATTTGAATGACAGTAACTTTGCACGCCTGATGGCCGAGTTAACAAGTTAACAAGTCTGTACTCATGTTCTTTTGAATTGAAAAATGGCCATTGGATCTGCCCAGAACTCCCTTGGTAAGAGGGTTCTGACAACTCCATGGGCAATAGAGTGCAAAATTTGAAAGAGAAACGGCAACACACAGAGCTTAAATAGTTTGAGGAAAAGAAGCTGCTCACGGTAGTGTATTATAAACATTAGCAGAGCATCGCTGTAGACCATGATTTTTAGGTTGATCTACTCATCTTGATCATGTAAACAAAACATAAACATCAATAAATGCTCTATATGAGTCAACTGAATAGTTGAAACAGGATTGATACATTAACAAACAACACATTTCACACGGCTATACACAAAACTTTTATATGGACTAAAGCCTATAAATCAGTAAGCTTTTTTCTAATGATTGTGTATCTTATGGAATAATTAGAAAAAACAGGTCTACCACAGATCTGATTTAAATTCCACGAAACTACTAACTTTCTTGGTCTTCTCCTGGCAGACTACTAAACAAATGTGCAAAACTGTGTTGCTGCATGTGTGACTTCATTTCCATCTCTGTGCTGTGTCCTGCTGTACTCATTTCTCACCAATGGGAGCAAAAAAAAAAAATCACATGCCTTGATTTCTTGTAATTAAGTAAGTGAAAAGTAAGTAAAAATGTATGGCCGTTATACCATTAAAAAAGTTCAGTACAAATGTGAAAGAAAAATCATTAAAACCATCAAAATCAAGTGCTCAGAAAATCATCAAAAAAACAGAATCATCACACACAATCATAAAATTCATCATCAAATACGCAACATGTTGATAGGAAGACAGTGAATGTTTAATAAGATATTTTGTTAAGAGCAGCTTGTCACCTGGATATGTATGCAGACACTAATCAAGGGCAGCTCTGAACAGGTGGGTCTTCAGCCTTGATTTAAAGGTAATTTAGCATTTCTGCTGTTTTGCAGTTTTTGCGGAGTTTGTTCCAGATTAAAGGTGCATAAAAAGGAAAGCTGCCTCTGCATGTTTGGTTCTGGTTCTGGGGATACAAAGTAGATTGAAAACAGTAGACCTGAGTGTTCTGACACAATGACAGTAAGTATTTAATCTATTGTGGTGCTAAACCATTAAACAATTTATAAACTAATTAAAGTATTTCAGAGACCATTTTCAAAGCTACAGGTTGTCAGTGTAAAGACTATAAAACCGGGGTGATGTTTTTTATCTTTCTAGTCTGAGTGAGAACATGAGCCCCAGCATTTTGGATTAGTTGCAGCTGTACGATTTATTATTTTGATAGATCCGTCAAGATACTATTGCAGTAATTAATGCGACTAAAGATGAAGTTCTAATTCTGAGTAATAATCAACTTACAAAAAGTACAATTTCAATACAAACTGGACCTAATGGGAAAAAAAATAATTCTACTTTTGGTCCAGTTCAATCAAGTAGACCATAGAAATGTTCTGGTGTGAATACACTAAAACTAGGTCATTATTTGCATATGTGTAATCTGCTTTAATGCTATTCTAAAGCATTGAAGTAAGTTTTAAGGCACATTTTTCTTCCAAACTAACACTCATTTTCAAATTATCCTATTTCGTCACTTTTATAGCTAAGCCAATATAGATTATAAAATATATCTTTCCACATTGATGCAGAAACTTTCATCTATTCTCCCCGTCAAGTGTTGCTTTGACCTTACTGGAGTGCCATTGGGCTATGAGAGAATTAAATTTCTCCACTGGTGAAATCCCACAAAACCACTTCATACTCCCTAAAAAGGAGGGGTAATGGACGGGTACCTGCTGGCATGTGAAAGATGCCCAGAATAAGTAAGTGGCACATGTCGCCAAGCAACAAGCAACCATGTGCAGGCTGACAACAAGCCCAGTCAAACGTTGTGAACGGGCTAAAAGGAGAGCATGCTTTGAGGTAGAGCCTACGATATATGTTCAATCTGTGGCCAGGCCCACATTACGGATGGAGCATGTGATATATTTGTGATCATATTTATAATTTATTAGACATTACAAATTATTTATTATTAGTACATATGGAGCCCTCGATTGCCTAGTCCAAACCCATCTTATACTGCTTATTTTTGTCATCAGCACTCATGAATGCTTTGTGCTTTCTGCCATTTTACTGGTTGTTTTCCAGGCAGTTGAAAATATGTATACTAACATATATATATATATATATATATATATATATATATATATATATTATTAAACTTTTACATTCCATTCCATTCCATTCTTCTGCATCTGTATAAAGGCAGCAGCATGGGTGTACTCTCATTGCTTTTGTCCTTGCACTGCTACATGTTGGATCTTCTCAGGCTCTTGTTACTGTATAGCGTCCCAGACGAGCCGCTGTTGCAATAACACCTTGCTATTCAGGAAATATAGGTTGTACATACAGAATGAAAATGAGAAAATGATTAAACTATAAATTAAATCACAGTCACCACTGCCATAACAAAGCCCTGCTTGAAAGCACAGGTTGTGGTTCAAATTTCAGTCCTCCAGGATACTCTTGTATGACGATGCCCTAAAATAATTATCTACCTAATGGTTAACAAAGGGTAAAAGTCAACAGTTGGCTATAAAACATTGTTTAAATCTTGCTGTGTTACAGAGTGATCCTCCTGTTGTCAAATTAACTTCATTTTTATCTTCACTGGCAGCTAATATTTCTCTAGAGTATTTGCAAACACAGGTCACAGCTATCGCTTAACCTCAAAAAACACATTTGAGATTAAATGTAAACAGCTTTCCAAATTACAAGATTAAACTAATTAGTATTAAGTAATGAGTTTTTTTCTGTCAACATATCCCCCCTCTACGTGACAGGTATAGCAGCAAACACAAGACGAACACAGAGGGCAAGTTCTTACAATTTTACCTCTGAACTTTAAACCCCAATATTTTAAAATTTAATAAATTTTAGGAAACCTCCAACTCACACTGAACATTAAGCTGGATTGACGAGTTGGTCATCCCAACCAAGTTCTCTGCGATGCAGGTCAGCTGGAAGTTGTTGTCGTCTCGGCTGATGTTAAAAAGGGTCAGGTTGATAGAGTGGATGTTCGGCCAGTAAACGTTTGACTGTGGAAACAGAGCCACAGGGATCAGATTAAGATAAGAGATGAAACTATCTCTCTGAACAAAAGATTGTGCAGTACATACTATTATACTGCTCTACTTTAAATTTTTAATCACTTAATTAAAACAAAGGTTAATTATTAATTAGTTAAATTCCAGTTGAAGGAAACAGAATGCCGTTAGAGACCAAATTAAACCCCTTCATTTATCCAAAATGATCTTAGTATCATAGTTTAATGCTAAAGAAACATTAAAAAAGAGCCTTGCAACTGTTTCTTTATAACAGTAACTTTTTTACAAATTGCCTGCTTTGCACCACTGTATATTTTAGGCTTCATTCACAACTTCTGACCTAAAAGTGTCCAAATAACAGCAATCATAGTGTGCTAACTTTATAAACAAACCATTAGGGCGGCATAATCCTTATCTGTAAAGTCACTAAAAAAATTTAAGACGGGATAAAAACTTGTATAATTTCAGCAGACTGCTGTCTCTTCTTGCTTGTATAACTGCAGTTCTCATAACAATAATGTCCTTGGGGCCTGTGTCAGGCATCCAGAATAATGGGTCAGCTGTATTACGCTCTGAGCAGAGCAGCTCACTTACTGTACAAGAAACCGCCTTGTTGAGATTGAGTGGACATCAATATAGTAACCAGACTGTAAAACAGAAGTTGGTGCGTCTGGAGCTATCACAATCATTAGGCCTGTGAAGGCATGTCAGCCATGCCTGTGACATCATGGAGGATGCCGCCATCGCCTACGGTTTTAACTACATTCCCCACATGAAACCGCACACCTACACCGTGGACAACCAGTTTCCTCTGATATGCTCTATTTAAATTATGTTTTTGCACTATCCAGTATTCTAAAGTTTAGAATGTTTGCTGACAATAAAAATACATTTTTTCCTGGAATAAAATATGGATGAAAGAATAAAAACAGTAGAAAAAAAAGTTAGCTGAGTTGAATAAGTTGTTGTTAAATGATGAAAAGACTAACTCTATAACAATATAAAGTTGAAAGAATTTATGAGACAAAATGTTTAGGGATTATTATAGACAATAAACTTATTTGGAAGCCTCACATAGAATATATCAGAAATAAAGTTGCAAAAACTATTGGAATATTGTTTAAAATAAAATATTTAATAAATATGAAAGGCCTGCATATTATATCCTCTATGGTCATGCCTTATTTGTCTTATTGTTCAGAAGTATGGGGAAATGCAAGTAAAACAATTATGGATAGGTTAGTTAAGTTGTAAAAAAAATTATATAATATTAATATAAAATATTAATAAGGCGGGATACCGTGAAGCAACTAATAAACTCTTCATTCAAAGCAACATATTAAAATTTAAAGATACTTTTTTAGAAAAATACTGGAATAATGTATAAAGCAGTGAACAAAACTCTTCCTTCTGGTATTCAGAAATTATTTAAGTTAAGAGAGATTAAATATAATTTGTGAGGTTTGTTAATATTCTAATGTGCAAAGGGAAGAGTCAGATAAAATCTACATGTATTTCAGGTATTGGTATGAAACTGTGGAATAAATTAATGATTTTAAGTTATGTCCTTTCTTGGTGAATTTCAAAAGAGCTTTAAAATGTAAAATGATAAAATCCTATGTTGTTATGTAGATTTGAATATTTACATATGTACTGTGAAGAACCTTTTAGGTTGTAAAGGCTGTAAGTATAAAACAGGGTAGACAAGAAAAAGCTTTGCTACAGCCTATTCCTCTTTTTGGTAAATTGTGGGCTTATTTGTTTCTTTTTGTTTCTTTTACTGTTTCCTGTGTTTAATGTTGGGTAATTTACAAAAAATAAAGTAAATTGAGGCCTCTATAATCTCAGTCCCTATGGAACTAAAAGGAACTTTATTAAAGCGTGAAATCTAAGTAGGATAAGTATACTATTAAATTATTTATTTACTATAGAGAAGCAAATGTTTTATCCAAGCAACATCTTTAAAGTAAAATCTATCTTTAACATATGAAATAAAGTGCACACTTAAAAATACAGGTCAAGGGTGTTCATAGGGATTGTATTCAACAAATACTGCTCTGTACTACACAATATAGTGGCTCTCGGTTATTATAAGTTTTAATGACTCCTGGTCTAAACTAAGTAAGGACAGTAAGAGATTCTTACTTTAAGATATTTATCCTGATTGCTAATAAAAACTATGAAATTTCCAGTGGAGATTACTAAAAGGATTAGTGACTAAACAACATTTTTGTTTTGTCTTTAAGTATTTGTTATTATGAGAAAAAGCCTGAAAATATTAAAACATGTTCAGAAATGGATACAGGTTAACACTGTGTTCCACTGATTCAGATACAAACCATCAGAAGTGCTAAAGTGCAATTTTTATAACAATATATGGGGGAAGCCATATTAGACACTGAACTCTGTGCTTCTCTGCAACCTCCAACTTTCCAGTCTGGCATTCTTGTTTTCTTTTCAAATGAAAAATCAAGTACTTTCAGAGCATAGCATGAACTGTGTAGATCTGTGTATTTCAGACCAGGTGGGTGTTGATGGAATGCAGGCCAGCGACAGTCCAGTCTACTTCAGGCAGCGGGGATCCGGATCCGTTGCAGCTCACCGTCACATTTTCACCCTCTGTCACCAACACGCTGCTGTGGCTCACGCTGATCTCTGGTAAGTCTGTATGTACCCAACACAAACACAGCAGCAGTATGTGATCAGGTTAACAAGTGTGACTTTAAAGTCTGCATATATCCAGATCAAATTGATTAACCTCTTCATTATTTTAATAAACATAGTCTAAACAAATATAGATTCTGATCCTGAGACACACACGCATGCTCATATGAGATACTTAAATATGAGTCACCACAAGAAAATAACATAATAAATAATAGCACGAAGTCTACAACCTCTGTCAGAAATCAAAATGCAGCTCCTCGCTTCAGATTCACCCACTGAACTCTGTCACACCTCCTCCTCTTTAAGTATCACCCTCATCCTGTCCTTTAACCCTTTTCTTCTCTTTCCCCTTTTCTCCATTTTCCTATCATCCCTGCGTCTTTCTTTTCATTGTTTTTCCTCCTTGTATCTCACCCCCCGCCTGCCACCACATCCTTACCACAGTTGGTGATGTACATGTTGTGCAGCCGCATCTTAGATGCTCCATTTCTGCAATACAGCTGCTGAGTGTGAAGGCCTGCCTCTCCCCTTTGCTGCCACAGCTGGATCCAGCGGATGCTGCACCCGCAATCAAACACAACTCCCTCAAGATGTCTGGAAAGAAAACAGCCAGAGGACAGCAGAGTTAATGGCAATTACAACAAACAATACTGCAAAAACGATTGTCTTAAACCAAGATGAAAACATTTCATTTGAGGGAAAATACCTCAAAACAAGTGAACTTCTTTGTTTACGCAGGAAATTTGACTTTGCAAATACTTTTAATTGACTAGATTTTACTAAACTAGGTTCGTAGTGTTAAGTTGAACAATTACAATAAGAAATTAAGTCTTGAAAAAATAAATTAGGTAACAATTCTAGATTTAAGTTTGTTTAACCTGGTAAGAACCACATGATTTGCAGTAAAGGTACGGAATGGACACAGCAATATTAATTTATTAAGGCAAAAAAACTCAACCTGTTTTAAAATATAAACAAAAAAATGTAGGGTGTCCATATCCAGCAAACACTATGCTAAAATCATGCATAACACACAAAAAAAGCTCTGTTAGAAAACCCTTTTCGCCTTAATAGCCCAGACTTAATGCTGCATGGACTCCCTTGGATCCCTGAAGTTATCTTGCACAATATTTTTAGGTCTCATGAAAGCTACGAGTAGATTCACCATAGACATCCTTTTTTTTTTTTTTTTCACCTGTGCCTGTTTTGCAAATACAACTCTGGCAATCAATTTCCCAGAGCTAGATGATAGCCCGACTGTTTGCTTTCACAAGCAGACCATTATGGTTGTTGCCATAGGGTTCTGCTTGGTACTTGTATCAAATCTGATTGAAAACAAAATCTTAAGGCAGTAACTCCTGGAGGTTTGCTTCCATGCGTAGGAGACAAGAGGGACAGAAAATACAGAACATAACAACAACAATAAGAGATTAGATAACCAAAGTAAACATTAAAAAAAAGCTTCCAGAAAAGTGGCTATCCCTGAGATATCCATGTGTGTGGAAAGCAAAACCTATGATGATAACACAAAGTTATTCAGGGTGGTTTATATATGTAGCTGCAGCTTAGTATTTAGTATTAGTGTGTAACGCCTCACCTATAGAGCCATTAGCAATCCAGCAGACATAGCATGGGATTTTGAACTCCTGTGGTATGTATGCATGTGCATGCACAGGTATAAAGTTTCCAGAAAGCTACTTCACAGCGGCACCCACCAGAAAAAGTGCAGACGAGAGTAACCGTACCCAAGCCCTGAGGGGCCAAACCCCAAATGGGCCCAAACCCTGAGGAGCCCGACCCCAGAAGCTATAGTGCCAAGCTCCCACAAGGCCGTGAAAGCAAGCCCATGAGCTCCACCGGTGTCCAGTCATGCCCAAGGTAGACCTGAGTTAGAGCCTAGGTGTCCGATGGCCAGGGGCACACCATGACCTAGTGGGGACCAGTAGGGCCAGGATGCTCAGGCTCGGCCCGACAGCTACCAAGAATGAGAAAATGCCCACCGAAGTACCCAACCCTGCACCTAGAGAACCAACAGGATGCCAGTAGACAGAGGCATTAGCGCGGAGCATAAGACGGGGGACGAGGCAGGCCCTGCTAATACTTGGGGTTCACAATGTTCTAGTAGGTGGAAGGGGAGAAAAACACTCAACCTAACAAGTAGATGATGACAAATTTACTTTCACAAAATCTCACTCTTACACCCATATGGACATATACAAGCGGTCAACAGGAGTGCACACAGGGGCAGACGATAAACATGTTCTTACACTCCTTATACGTACACTGTTCCCTCAGGCCAATCGCCATAGGGGGAACAGCCCAAAGACACAGTAGGAGATCCCCAAACCCCTTTTTTAAAGTTAATAAGAGGCTGGGATAGGGCACCATCAAAGGGAGGAGAACTGGAATGTCATCCCTCAATGTTTCCTCCCCTGAATGCAGGCACAATGTAGGGTAAGGGTAGGACGCCAGGCTCCCCCACAAGGCTGAAGCCAAACCCTCCAACATTCCAGACCCAACCAATGCCAGGAACTGGTGTCCCCCATCCCAGTGGGCGGACAAGACACTCAAGCAATAGGATGGGAAAAAAAGGCCAGAGAGCCCAAGAAACCTCTGCCAGGAACCCAGTTTCCTGCTAAATAATTACTACTCTGCTACAGCAGAAAGATCATTATTCTAGCTCTTTAATTTGTGTTTTTTTTCTTTAACTTTTTCTTTCCTATTTTTGGGGTTGGAAATTAACCTGTAGCTTACATGTTCAATTAGGAAACATCGATAGCAAAGTAATTAATTCTCAAAGACCACATCACTTATTTTAATTGCTGGACTGTCAGCGTACCGAAAGCACAAGTCTTGATTTTAAGCTTTTCCAATCCAACAGCACAAACGTAAAGCTCCATGTCGGACTCAACACGCTTCAGCTTGCATGTTAATTCCAAAGCTTCATGATAACAAAAATAGAAAGAGTTAGGGTACAATGCACGGTGATATCTTTAGAGTAAACCATAGGAGCGGAGGGATGGTGTATAGTTTCTTTAACAGTCCACAGGAGCTGAAGCCCTTACAAAAAATGAGTATACCAAGATAGTGGTTTATAAAGCAAAGCATTCAGGAAAAAACTTTAGTTAATATGTCAGCTAAAACTTTACTGTGTATCAGTAATAGAACAGTGATATTCAACACCCATTTTTATCTACAACAGCAAATATTGCAGATACTAAAACAATCCAGAGTCCAGGACCTGTGTTGTTAATAATAAAAGGAATATATTTGTAAAGAAGAATAAGTAAAAAATCTTCTAACAATAAATGATAAATAAAATCAAACTATTTTAACTATTTTTGTTGCTGAGGGTGAATTTATAAACTGCTTTAGCCTCTATGGACAATGTCACAACTTGACAGCACCAGAATTTAGCATATAAATGTAGTTTAAAATCTAAGCTACACTAAGTTCTCTAATAGAACTTTGCCAATTTATGTTTCCTAATATTTTCTAATGGCTAGATCTACTCTTATCATCAGTTAAGAAACGCTCAGGCTATCATTCTTAGGCTGCATTAGCACCAGACAAGTATCATTAGGTTTCCTTACTCATACATTTCATTCTCAGTCTAATGTGCAGAAGGCACTGACATCCTTCAAATGTGTACACCTCCAAATGGAACCTATGCAAAATGCATAGGTTCCATTTGGAGATTCTGATTGTCAAATTTTGTCAAAATGAACGGCAGTCCACATCTCCTAGAGAGAGGTCAAAATGATATTGCAGAAAGCATGAATAATGTATGAGCAATGTTCAGTTTGCTTTATGAAGGCATGAGAATGGAGTCCCACAGGTGGTCCTCATTTATTATCAGATGTTCTGTAAATCTGATTATATTGTTTAAGCAGAATGTCTGTGCCACTGTATAATGACTAGGTCTCTAGACTCTATACAACACTGGCTGAATCAGTCTGTTATATACTTCCACAGGACACTAATTAATGATCTTGATGGCTGAAATAATGACCAATTTAGTTTCTTTCTCAGCTATTTTGGTTCCAATTATAGTGGAGTTACCAATATATTATGGTAGTGTATTCTTATAATCCATCAAAATAGATAGGAAATCATTAACGATAGTCATATTTACACTTTTCCTTTAATTGATTGTTTAATTATATTGTTTGCTCATAATCTTTGTGTACTATCCCAGCTGTCTGAGAGCTTGTCACATTCATAAGGGAGATATGCAGCAATTAAATTATTTACAATAGTAAGTAGAGCACATATGTAGCACAACATCTTAATCTCTCTCTGGGGTCAGAAATTTCCTTCAGGAGCAAAAGTATGTATTTGGCTAATATTTGCTAACAACGACACATTGTATAAGGTAGAGTCTCAGCAATCATAACGATTACCTTCTCCTTGTTGGTTTAAAACTTTATAGCTATGTCTTCTATCATTTCCAATCTGTTATTTCTTGACTATGCATGTTTAAGTGTGTCTATGTTATCTGCAGAATTGAATATAATGGAGGTTAAATCAAATAGGAAATCTCTATGTACTAATTAAGTGACTTTTACAGGCAAGTGGTTGCAATCGATTTAATTAAGGGGTTATAAGCATAAAGGAATCTGGAAACAATTGTATGTCCCATTTTATATGGTTTGTTTTATACAGTTTTCTATATGCTATGTATCCACTTATATCTACTTCATGTACTTTATGTACTTATTTAGATAAAAATCCTTATTGCATCAGTTGTCTCAAATGAGAATAGGACCGGAATTCTGAGGATTTTCTTGCTTTTTCTTTTTTTTTTTCTGGACAGTTTAGGGAAGACGTGTACCTCCCTTTATGACAAGCAGGAGAACACTTCAAGGGCAAAGGTTTTCAGTTAACGCTGAGCGTGCAAACCACTAGGGAATGAAACTCAGTGGAGCAGTAAGGCTCCAGCTTTCCTTGTTCCTCTGTAATTATGGTGATTATTAATAACAGCCACCACCTTCACACATTAGCTATGTTGCCTCTAGGCTGAGTTGATTGGCACCTGTACAGGAACAAATGCTTTGGTTAAATAAGGAAACCTCGTGGTCCTGCAGCCAGCTGGCAAGGTGTAGTGAGCCATTTGTAAGGCTTTCAGAATTACAGTAACAAGTAATGACATAACACCAGTATTGGAAAAAAAAAAGTGCTAATTGACAGCTGGATTTGAATGCACGTCCAAGGGACGGAAGATCTGACTTGGAAAAGCATGAGCACTAATGACAACATGGCTTCAGTACAGCTCTCAAGACATTTTCATTTCTTAAAGTGAAGCAGTGATAAATTGTAAACATGGTGATCAAATGCAAACATAAGACTGAGATATGATTTGCAGTTTTTCCAACATTCAGCTCCTTTTTCTTTTATTCCAGATTTGAAGGGTGTTTCCTTAGCACTGGTTAACAACCCACCCGGCTACTATAGAAGAGGCTGGTGATAACCACTATAGGCTGTTTATTTTAAGGATTTGCATATTTTAACAACAAATGTTAGATTTCAGCTTAAAGCAACAGTGTTTAACTATCACTCACCAACCACTAGATTGAATCCTCAATCACAGAACC